CTATATCATAAGCCAAGTCCTTGATTTCAGCAAGCCATATCTTCACCAAACGGCAAGAATTGGACATCTGCTTCTCTTCTGCATCTTCAAGAAGGGCAAAGATTTTTGGCAATAAGCTCTCCCAGTTTCGCAACTTAACGAGGACTTGCTTTTGCAAATTGAGCGATCTACTCAACTTCAACTTGTTAAACAACCTCTCAAAAACAACAGTTAAAAGAGCACCTCCAGCAACAGATAAGAATTCCATTGGATGATCAAGTATTCTGAAAATTTAGGGTAAATTAAGGTATGCTTAGTACATATAGTAATTCAACAATAAAAATAAAAAATAAAAATATAACTAAATTATTAATATGTGGTATTAGTTACTAAAAAAAAAACAAAAAAACAAAAAAAGAAAAGAAAAACAAAAACGACTTCTATACTAAATGGGTCCTCAGTTTAAGGATTTGGAGGACTCAAAATATCAAGCCTCCACTTTCTGATTACTTTGTAACTTTATTATTTATTTATTGTTTCGTTAACATTATTTTAGTTAATTTGCTAAACATAATTTCTAATAAAAAGTATAAAGTTTGTTGATATTTAAAGATTTGAAAATTATTTAAAAATAGAACTAGGAACACTTGGATTTTCAATAGGTAAAAGTTACAAATTTCCCCCAAAAATTAGCACATAGAAGTAAATTGTCACTTAAAAAAATATTGACACAATTTATCACCCCAATTTTCATTTTGAAGAAATCTACTTAAATTAACAGTTACAGTTAATTTTTCATTAGACTTCAGAAACAATAGATTAATAAAGTTTAACAATAATCATTAAAATTGGGCTAAATTCTTAAAAACAAAAATTTGGATGGTAAATTATGTCAATATTTTTTTGGTGATTTCCTTCAACAGTTCAACTTGATAATTTTGGGGTAATTTGTACAACATTTGGCCTTTTCAATATATTTATTATTCATATTTAAAAACACAAAATAATAATAATAAAAGAAAAAAAAAATGTAGGATCAAGAAGCATTTAATGTTACATACCTTAATTCGCTTCGTAGCTTTGATTTTTTTTCTTTTTAAATGCTCAAAGTTGAAAGTGGATACAAAATTGCTGCCTGTTGGAAGTGGGTGGTAATTAAACTATGAGAAGAAACAGAGAAAGAGTAAGTGAATTTTAAGATGAAGAAACTGAACCAAAGAAAATAAATTAAAAACAAGAGATGGAAGAGATGAGGAGCATACCTTTTTCTTTAGACTGAAACTTGAGCACTGGAAAGGAAAGACACAGAAGCTTGGAACAGAGGAGAGGATAATCTGAGATGAATGGGAGAACGAAAGGAAATCTTCTTTTAATTTGTTAGGCTGTTTTTTGTTTTTCAAAACAGGCAGAGCATTGGATGCTTTTGCTTTTGACGAAGACCCACTGGTGGCTCTAATTATTGATCCTGGAAAAGAGGAGACTCTGATTTCTTTTCCTCTTTCCTCAAATTTATTTTGTTCATTTCTCATTAATGAAATGAAATTGTCTTCCTTTGCAGCCCACCATAATTTTCGGGAAAGCAAATACTTTAGTTTAAAGCATCTTTGGCTTTTCTAAAAGAAGGCAAAAAAAGAAAGGAAATATTACTAGAAAGAAAAACTGAGCCACAATTAAATCCAACTAGCATCTTTTGCTTTTCGAAATAAATTTTTTGTATGGTGGATGAGCATATCTTTTACAAATAAAAAACTGTTCTATGCAGATTGCAAAACTAAAAATATTAGATAGAGCAAGCTTTAAACTGTTTTTTTTTTTTTAATTTATTAATAAAATTGTTTTTTCATTTTATAATTTTTATTTTACAATTTGAATAAAAAACTTATTTATGTAAATACTCCATTAATCTAGACATATTGACCATCTAATTATAAAACTTTTTTACTATGACAGGTAATTATTGGATATCGTAATTTATAGCAGTATCAAATAATTGACAAGAATGTGAAATTTTTTTCTAAATAAATTTTAACACAGCAGTACAACATCCAAAACTTTTTATTTGACACTATTTGAGTAAAATATCAAATATGTAGTGTCGGAAAGCCATTTTCCATTGAGCATGAAAGTTCATATATATCTTTCTCTCAGGCATCCCTGAGGTACATACGGCTTGTTAATATCTAATCAACTTAGCATAAGTGACATTGTCTATTTTCAAAAAAGAAAAAAAATTAGCATAAGTGAATGAAAATTTTACTTGCTATGATCTAGCATTAATGTCTGAGCCCATGAAACTAATTATTAAACCCATTAACAAATTTAGGCCGAAAACCCATTAACAAATTAAGCCTAGGTCAAGGAAACTAAGTTCAAAACAGTCCAAATCCAAAACCCATTCTAGGTCGGTCTACTATAACAGCTAATAAGGCCCAAGGAAAACTAAGCCCTCAAAATTTTTTAGAGTTTTATATATTTTAGTTCGGATTGTTGGTTAAAAATATAATTTTATTATTTAAATTATTAAATTATTATTAATAAATAAATTTAATGAGAGTATTTTAGTAATTTAAGCGCCTTTAATACCCATGAAAAATACCACCTTATTTTTTTCGATTAAAAAATACTGAAATATAAACAGAAAACGCGAGTTTGTCTCCTTACCCATTACCCTACCTTTCAGGATTTGAAATTCCAAATACAAATTTCC